CGTAACAGAGGATGTTCCAGGTCTTTGATAAGCTTTATTGTCTGTTTAATGCAGGCTATATTTGACCCTAAAAATTAACAAAGGTAAGTACATAAATGGCTCTTGCATGTGTTAATTAGAGAGATCTAGTCTGACTATATAGGAAGCCAGTTTGCACCATAATTTTAGATGCAGCCTCTGAAAATAATTGTCTAAGTTTCCTAGTTACGTGATTGAATTGCTTTATCAATTAGCAACTATATGTTAGGCTCAATTAAGTGCTTAATGTGGGCTGACTGACTATTGTCATTAGACTGTCTGCTTCTTGTCTTAACTGCTGCAAATCTAGTGCATCTGGATTTGAGCAGAACACCAGAAGTGCGTTCTTTGCTGAATATCAGTAAGTCTCTGAATACAGTCTGGATGTATTTGGGGAAACATCTTGGGGTATTTTATCTCCGGTATTCAAGACTCTTTGGAAATCAGCATGACTGGTCATACACGATAATGGACTTTCTCATATTTTGTGCTTGTTTTGGCTTTGCAAGAGAGACATTTCCAGCACTTAGCTTTGCAGGACTTCACTTGAAATTGCAGCATCCCAGCATTAGCTTTTGGTATGGGTAGTGCTGCTGAAGATGAAGTATTTTAGAGAAAATTTTTTTTTGGTGGTGTGACTTTTGCTTTCCCTTTATTTTGAAGGCACGCATGTTGCAGATTTAAAAACAACGGCCCTTTATTAGAATTTTACTCCCCATCTTGAAATTTGATCAAAGACTGCAAAAGACTTCTCACAGAAAAAAACTCAACATATTTGCGTCCTGTAAAGTAGATTTATGATTATATCCGTCTGTGTCCAAGAGTAAAGTAATCGAGCAGCAGCATGTTAAAAGGAAAAATATTTCATTGCTGGCAGGATACAATTTTTGAATTATTCCCTCAGGAAAAAAGGTTTTATAAATATATACTTGTTTCACTCCATTGGTCTTAAGTAAATCATGCATTATAACTGCAAATGCATTTTTAATAATATGCTTTAATTTGAAATATATATTTTATGTTTTAGAAATATATCAGTAGTGTACAAAAATAATGGTACAGTATATGTATATTTTCATAGGGGCTTATTATTTTTAAGTTTGTCATGTTCTTAAAATTAATTGTTTAAAAAGTGTTTTAAAGGAGATTAAGCCTGTAAATCAATTATTTACTCCTTAGAAAAGTTGTTTTTTCCTCTCTATAATGTCTTAAATTTGTCTTATTTTACTAGTTATTTTTAGTGACTTTTACCAGTAGAGAGAGTACTCTGTGTATAGGTTTTTTAGTTTTGAGTTTTGGTGGGGGTTTTTTGAGAAAATCTGAAATTCTGAAACTATGCTCTTAGACTGTAACTTTTTGCATGTTATTTACCTATTCCTGGATCTCTATAATACTAGTTCAGTGAAATTATTTTGTGTAATTAAACAAATACTGGGGTATGGCAGTGCAAGAATGGCATACATAGGTATTAAGTAAAGAAGTAGCAATGACATAGGATGATCAAGGAGAAATTATTTTTAAAAGTATAGCTGTAACAGAGTACTTAAGTGCAGATGTCAAGACCCTAGTGTCAGTGTTGCTGGCATAAAGTATTTTTTAAGCTCATTTGGAGATTTTGTTCCTTTATGTTTTAATTTGTATATTCTAGTCTATCAGTGTTTATAAATGTGGATTAACTGACACTTTCCACTGTAAAACTCTTTTTACAGTTGTAGATTCAACCAAAAGTTTGCATGCCAGTGGTCTATTTCATACTGAATTTTAATGGGAATTTAAAAATTCAGTCATTTTTCAAGAACATGGACTTTTTTCTTTTTTCTCCGCAATTCATGCATTTTTGCAGCTTTTAAAATATTCACCAAATTATAGACCTATCACTTTCAGTCAAGAATTTTTATTTGAAGGCTACCTTTATGCATTCCCGGCGTATGATCTATGTTCCAGCTCAGTACAGCCATGTTTGCAGTGCAGTTCCTGCTCTCAGCTTCTGAGAGCAGAGGACGAAAGGACCATGGCCGTGGCCGGCCTCAGTGGCTGTAGCTGGTGGCTTGGAATTTACCAAAGTGCAGAACAGACAGGAGGGGTGAAAGGGACAGAAAGCTGAAGGATTGTGTGTGGGGAGGAAGGGGTTGTGAGGGTGAAGCTTAGTATCGAGGGGCGTGAGGGGAAGGAGGGATTAAAATACAGAGCCTAAAGAGAGGACACCAAAGCCAGAAGCAGAAGGAGACAGACGATGGCAACAAAATGGACAGGGAAGAAAGGCAGCAAAGGATAGGTAGTTGGTAAGGAGGGAATCATAGCAGGTAGGAGCCAAGGCAGAAGTCATATGAGAGGATCTTGCTACAGCAGGAACTTGGTGAGGAAGGATGCTAGATGCGTGAATCAGGTGGTCACAGGTATGCAGTAACCAGGAGGAAGAGCAGCAAGGAAACTTGGACCCAGAAGCTGAAGCTGGGGAAGGAAGAAAGGAGAGCAGGGAGCAGTAGGGACAAGAGCAGAAATGTCTTTGAGTGCTTGGACACACACCTCCGCGTGCTGGAGCTGACATTTACTCCTGCCTGAATATTTCTCTATTGCTGAGCAAATAGCTGTGAAACATGGAGGAAAAGTGTGTGGTGTTCTGCCTGTGGCAGGCCAGCTCAGCTTTTTGGTGTTACTGTAGAGTCCATTACGGGAAATTGGAGAACTCTGTGCCACAGGTCCCAGCTCACTGCCAGCACTTGGGGAGGCAGTCTGATTCATGAATTTGGTGTTCTTGTTGCAATTTGGAAGTCTATAAAGGTGCAAGGAATGATGCTAAAAATAGAACTGGAAGATCTTTAATGTGAAGTTAAGCTCTCCAGAATTGCAGAACTGCAGTAGCTAATGCAACCACAAACTGCCTTGTGTGGTTATGCGTATGATAATAATAACCTGTTTAAAAATAGGTTTGTGCATATGATCATGTAGATGGTAAGCTATTAAGGATTTTATGGATTATAAAGAGTGGTACAACTTGTATTTCATAATCAGCATCTAAATATTTGTAGAAAAAGAATCAAAAATAATAAACTCTTAATGTATATTTTTTTTTCTTGCTAGAAGCATGCTTTGTTTGGGCATGAGTATTGGATGCCTGTGTGCTAGAAAAAGTAGTCATCTAACAGTAGTATTATAGAGATGTGTTTTCTGAAATAAGATAGTGAAGATGTATTGCCTAAAGTGTACATAATAAATAAAATACGTTTTCTGAAGACATAGAGCATGTCAAGGGTGCAGAGGGTATCTGACTTGATAAAGTAGGTTTTTTTACCTGGTGACTTTTAAATGATTGGTAAAGATTTTGTAGGAATGTTGTTAGGAAAGTGTGTGAAGAGTTGTTCCATAACAAAAACTAACTCTGGGAGATAACAGTTTAAAGATTTGAAAAAGAAAAAAAAAAAAAAATCACTTGTAAATTCAAAAAGCAGTATTATTAAACTGTTCCACTAACATATTTCAAATGACCAAGTTTCTCTGCCTAAGTGAGGGTGAAAAATGCCTGGAGTGCAGGTATGGGTATAAACCTCAGTGAGAGGTGACTATTTCATTCAGGGTCTAAAAGTAAGCTCTGAAGTGATAGTTTAGATTTTGGTTTGGTGGGGGGTTTGTTTGTTTGCGTGTTTAAAGGCATTGTAAGCTAAATGGCAGAATCATCTACTTTTTCTCAGATAAAATTAAAAAATACCTCTTGGTTATTTCAGATCAAGCTTTTACATACTACTGTTATTGCAAGAGAGCATTCATTCGAAAGAGTTGTTGTTCTCATTTCTAATGGCACTATTACATTTTTGTTAATACACTGTGGCAATGCCCAAAGGGATGAAATAACGCCAAGGGTCAGAGCTCACAGCTGTATTCTGTTTAAAACTAGTGCTAGCACAGAAACACTTCAGACTTGTTCCTGCTGTATCAGTCTCACATTTATCCTTCTGTTGGATCTGTTCTAGCCTGCATCATTCTCCTATGTCTTTCCCAATATCACCTGCACCCTTCCTCTTTGTAAAGAAAATTGTGCTCTGAATTGCACTGCCTGATAATCTTCCTCTTGCAATTCCTGCCTCGTCCTTTTCTTTCTTGGAGTGCACAGTTACATCACTCCTCTATCGCAGACAACTGCCAGTGAAGTTGGTAGTTTTTTGCCACCAACTCAGCCTTCTACAGCTGTAATATATTGAGTCAAACTGTGGTTTCCTTAGCTTTCCATAAATTCAGGTATACTCTCTGTGGTGTTACACTCTGCTGCCTTTTCTCCCAAATCCTGCCTACGGTTCCCCTCCTTGGCCCAATGGGCTCATGGCTTCCAGACAGCTGTAATTCAAGAGTTTATTCTTGATGTACATAGTATATAAGTTTTTCTCAAGCAAAATGAAAGATTGCAACCTTGTATCTGCTGTTGGCGCAGCTTGCTCTATTCCTATGGCTGTTTTGCCTGGTGCTCTATTACCCATTACCAGTTCCTGTGCCTCTCTGTCTGTACGGTGCCCGTTGCCGCAGTATTGATCGACTACTTGGCAGATTCTTGAGTGTGGTTGACTGTTCTGTCCTTAATGATAGCTAAGTGCCTGTTTTGTGGAGTATTCTCTCTCATGTCATCATTAGCTGTAGTCCTGTGTGTTTGTTTCGGAGACAGGGGGGGAGGAGGGCTGTGAATGCGATGCATTGGGGTCCATTCTTGAAAGGTGACTGGTCAAAGTCAAAAACAGACAGAGTGCACAACTGATTCTGAGGTGCAATTTGTGAAAAAGCAGAGGTCCAAATAAATGCATTATTATGTGTTTTTGTTTTTATAGTATTAGGCTATATTGTTTTCAAATTGATATAAGTTAATTTGAATAACGATACAGGTTTTGTTTGCTTCATCAAACTATTGCACATTAAAATTCATGCCTACAGAAGTAACCATTCATACATCTTTCTCTGTTTGAGAGATTACACATTTCTTTCTATTCATATTCTTCCAGGTGACTTGGATTATTACTGGCTGGATCCTGCCACGTGGCACAGCAGGGAGACATCCCCTATTAGTTCGGTAAGAAATAGGGAAAAAGAGGTTCGTAAGTATGAACTAAACTGTTTGCTGATTATTTCAGTTCAGCATAGATATTTTGTTGTAAAAAATTATTCGGTACAAATTATATGAAAATTTGGTTTAGTGGATTGTGGAAATTGAAATCAGAAAGAAATTTTCGTCAAAATATTTACTAGTAAAATTGCCTGAATTTTAACTTGAATGTACTTCTTTTATAGACATGGTACTAGATTTCACTACACACTACAAAAGCAGCTGTGAGTGTGATGCTGCTCTGGGAGAGATTAGTGACTTTTTCTATTGGCTTGGAGTGGGAAAGGATCATTTGGATTTTTATTATATAGTGAACCCATATGATAGAGCCGTATAACATGTGTAGTCTTCTAAAGACCAGAATTTATGAATGCACTTTTCAGGGTCATGGAATTTAAAAGTAAATGTTTATTTTTTTTACCTAAGGTATGTTTTAAATGTTTAATTGTATTGAACTTTGGATTGTATTATAATTTTACCTGCAGACTTAGTGCTGAGTGTTTTTTACAGTGGGCATAAATATTTAATGAAGCCAGACTCCAACAGATATAAAAATAGAAAGCTCGGGTGCAATATGTAACGCATCTGAAGGATGTTTGTGTCTACCATGACATAATGATTCTCGTGGTTTAACCCCAGTTGACAACTGAGCACCACGCAGCCGCTCGCTCACCCCCCCACCAGTGGGATGGGGAAGAGAATTGGAAGGGTAAAAGTGAGAAAACTCGTGGGTTGAGATAAAAACAGTTTAATAGGTAGAGCAACAGTCACGCACGCAAGCAAAGCAAAACAAAGGAATTAATTCACTACTTCCCATCGGCAGGCAGATGTTCAGCTGTCTCCAGGAAAGCAGGGCTCCCTCACGTGTAACGGTGACTTGGGAAGACAAACAGCACCACTCCAAACATTCCCCCCTTCCTTCTTCTTCCCCCAGCTTTTATATACTGAGCATGATGTCACATGGTATGGAATGTCACATGGTATGGGATATCCCATTGGCCAGTTTGGGTCAGCTGTCCTGGCTGTGCCCCCTCCCAGCTTCTTGTGTTCCTCCAGCCTTCTCAGTTGGTAGAGCATGGGAAGTTGGAAAGTCCTTGACTAGTATAAACACTACCTAGCAACAACTGAAAACATCAATGTGTTATCAACATTGTTCTCACCCTAAATCCAAAACACAGCACTGTACCAGCTACTAGGAAGGAAATTAACTCTATCCCTGCTGAAACCAGGACACAAGGCCTTTTGGATACTCCATACTCCCAAGTGTGCTATTCATACCAGCTCCTTTCGGAAGTTGTAAATGGTGAAAGCTACTCCCTATCACTGCTGTCCCATATGCCTTGAACACTTCATGACTGGGAATCTACACATTTCCTGTGCCAAGTGGCTCATATCAAGTTTGGGATTGTTTTGTCTAAAGATCATAGCCAAAATTGTAGCAATGAGGACCAGCCATTTACATATCTAACAGCCACAGTGATTCATGGCTTGTAGCAGAAAACAGTATCTCACCATACAAAGGAAACTGGCAAGTTTCAGGCAACAGCTGTTCTTCATGGGCAAGAGCGCACTGCTACAGGAAATCAGTGCAGCTCTTGCCTGATATTTATGCAAGCTTTTCTATACGTATGAAATAATTCTCAAAAATAGTTTTTACTAGTAAAACTGTACTATTGCTTGGCCCATCTGCCTAAAGCAGTATCATGGTTTGCCTTTTTATTTGTTCATTCAATCATTCATATGGTATGGGGAAAAAAAGCATAGAGTAGAGTCCAGCCCAGTTGCCCCTTCTGGATGGTCAATGCTAATATCAGCATAAGAATACAAGGATCTAAGAGACCTCCAAATATTGTAGCACTTTGTTTTTCCCCGTTAATGTCCCCCTTGAGTTAACCTGCATATGCTATCATGGCCCTAAATAGCATTGCCACATCACTGTTTTAATAGGTCTAAGCAGCTTTGCATTAGTATAACTGTGCAGGTAGTTGCTTAATTGTTTATCAAAATAGTTCTACTGATCCAAAATTGGGGAGACAAACAGCACCACTCCAAACATTCCCCCCTTCCTTCTTCTTCCCCCAGCTTTTATATACTGAGCATGATGTCACATGGTATGGAATGTCACATGGTATGGGATATCCCATTGGCCAGTTTGGGTCAGCTGTCCTGGCTGTGCCCCCTCCCAGCTTCTTGTGTTCCTCCAGCCTTCTCAGTTGGTAGAGCATGGGAAGTTGGAAAGTCCTTGACTAGTATAAACACTACCTAGCAACAACTGAAAACATCAGTGTGTTATCAACATTGTTCTCACCCTAAATCCAGAGCACAGCACTGTACCAGCTACTAGGAAGGAAATTAACTCTATCCCTGCTGAAACCAGGACAATGATCCAGAAATTTTACTGGTTTATAAATACGCATCTAAATACAGGAAGATGGTTGCACTTCTTTAATTCCACTGCTTGTTTTTTTAACAGCATCCAGTAACGTGGCAGCCTTCTAAAGAGGGAGATCGCTTAATTGGGCGCGTTATTCTTAACAAGAGAACAACCATGCCCAATGATCCAGAAATTTTACTGGTTTATAAATACGCATCTAAATACAGGAAGATGGTTGCACTTCTTTAATTCCACTGCTTGTTTTTTTAACAGCATCCAGTAACGTGGCAGCCTTCTAAAGAGGGAGATCGCTTAATTGGGCGCGTTATTCTTAACAAGAGAACAACCATGCCAAAAGAATCAGGTGCATTATTGGGGCTAAAAGTAAGTATTACATAGTTTATGTGGTAAAGGAAAGAAACTTCCACTGATCTTAGACCTAGAGGTCTAACACATTAAATCAGAGGACTCTCCAATTATATTGTCATTTGACAAAAATATATTCCTCATTTTTAGTGAGTTTTGAAAGTTATACAGATAAATTATCCTTCTATGCAGTCTTCCACTCATCCATGGCAAAGGAGCTGAACTGTTTTGATTAAAAAGTGTATGTTTATTCAGCTTCCTGTCTGGAAGACATATACTGCACATTGCAATGCACTAATGGAGTCCTGCCTTTTCTAGCTCTACTGTTTGCATTTCAGTCAAGTAATTAGTCTCATAATCCACATACATAAATGTCATCCAGATGCAAGTGTTTACAAGGTCAGTGTTTAAAATCCACACAGCCATTTGGAAACAGAAATTTTGTAGAAAGAAACTAAACGTTTACACAAAAATTTGCAAAAACCCTTTTAAAGCATAATAGAGGTTATATTAAATGTAATTCCAGATAATCGGGTGTCCCAAAATTAAGACATTGGCAACACTTTCCAGTTGATTTACATCCCTAAATTAGCCATTTGTAGTGGACTTTTAGGTTTGTGTCCCTAAATTGCTGGAACACTTAAAAGAGAGGGAGTGCTACTTCTGAAGCTGGTGGGGAGTACAGTGTACCAGTTCAAGAATTTCTCTCCATGTATATTTTTAACTATATGGAGTTCCAAAGATGCCTGAGAGAATTTAATTTGGGTGTCTTCCTCTCCCCACGGAGAACAGAAACAATGCAAAATATGAAACATTCTCATCCACGTAGGACTGAGACTACTTCAAAGGGCACTGACACTGAACCACTCCTTCCATATAGTTGTCTGATAATTCAATCCCTCACATGTGATGGAGATGTGGGTTGTTGGTTCTGCTCATCATGGTGGGAATTAAATCAGGAAAGAACCTTGTGAACTTGGTAATGGTATGTCCTGGGTAAGAGCCATTTATCCACCTTGGAAGTGAGATAGTGTGGCGTGGGAAAACAGAAGGTGAGAACAGCTTCACTCTATTAAATGTCTAGTAGTCTGTAGCACAAGGATGATTTTTGCTGGCAGCAAGCAATTTTTTTTAAGTATGTGAGAAAAAGGTTGATCCTAGTAGGAAATGTAGATTGGAGAGCTTCTCTTTGATTTTTCAAGTTTCATTTTTGTATGATATGAGCTAAGGCCCCCACTGATAAATTTAACACATTATCTTGTGACAACCTTGTTGGCAGGTAGGCTTCTAGATCTTCTTGGATATATATCTCTAAAAGCTCCTACTAGTGATTGTGATTGCAACATGGGGAAATAATACCTAATGAACCATCATTTCACTGTTCCATTTTATTATAAAACTCCTCCCAGGATATTCCTGACAAAAAAACCTGACTGGAGAGAGTGAGATAGAGAATAATAGCAAGTCAGCAAGACTACATTTTCTTGTTTTATATTTTATTAAAAATCTAATCTCTTGAGGGCACGTTTTTTTTCTGATTTTCCTGATCTCTGTATCATGCAGTCATCTTCAAAAGTAGCTCTCTTCAGTTCTGTTTAAGAAAAGCCAGAAGTTGCTGTTTTGTCCTGTCATGTACTTGCATGAGAGGGCCTTGGTTTTAGCAGTAGCAATGTTCTCGTGAACTGTTTGCCCATGTTTCATGGTAGTGTATTTGCTAAGGTTTTAATTGTTGTACCAATTGCATTCTGGGATTTTCATATTGTCATGGTTTAACCTCAGTTGCAAATGAGCACCACACAGCCGCTCGCTCACTCCCCACCAGCCCCGATGGGATGAGGGAGAGAACTGGAAGAGTAGAAGTGAGAAAACTCGTGGGTTGAGATAAAAACAGTTTAATAATTGAAATAAAATATAATAATAATAATATACAAAGTAAGTGATGCACAATGCAATTGCTCACCACCTGCCGACTGATGCCTGGCCAGTCCCCGAGCAGAGGCCCCCCCAGCCAGTTTTCCCCAGTTTATGTATCAGCTGTCCTGGCTGTGCCCCCTCCCAGCTTCTCATGCACCCCCAGCCTTCTCAGTTGGTAGAGCGTGGGAAGCTGAAAAGTCCTTGGCTAGTGTAAGCACTACCTAGCAACAACTAAAACATCGGTGTGTTATCAACATTGTTCTCATCCTAAATCCAAAACACAGCACTGTAGCAGCTACTAGGAGGGAAATTAACTCTATCCCTGCTGAAACCAGGACACATATGTTTGGTTTGATGTGCACTTGCAGTTTAAACTTAAGAACATGACAGACATCTATTTGCAAAATGTATGTTTACTTGGTTATTAGGAAATGTTATTTCTGCAACAAATTTAGATACTTAGCAAACAGCATAAGATTGATTAGTCAAACACATTAAAAGGAATATCAATTTTATTCATTCTATGTCAGCTTTACTTCTTTTCAAGTAGATCTGGCCTTTTTGTATCCTTAACTTTGTCTTTAAGCCTCTGTAAAGCCCAAATTGACAATAGATTTGCTTATGCATTTTTAAAGTTTAATTTCAAAAATAATGTGAAAACTGCTATGTCTGTATATTTATGCTTGATATGATGTCTGCTTTGTGACTTGGAAACTCACAAATTTATGATTAACCAGGTTGTTGGAGGAAAAATGACAGAATTAGGACGACTTGGTGCCTTCATTACCAAAGTGAAGAAAGGTAGCTTGGCTGATGTGGTGGGGCATCTCAGAGCAGGTAAATGAATCAGTTGCATATATTGTCTTTTAATTACGGCTTTTTGTAATGCAGCTGTTAATTTTTATATATAGATATTTTTATATATATAGGTCATGTGATATGCTAATATTTTTAAATACAGGACAATACTGTAAAGTTATTATGGAATGCCACAGTTGCCTACATTTCTAATTTATTATTAACTCCAATTGCTTGGCAATATGAGCAAAATACAAGACACTCCTGATCAGTGCTGGTGTCAGGACTGAGTGTCACTGGTAAATTTTTTCCTTGCTGGCTCAGGAGCTGCTTGTTACACTCTATAGAAGCAATGCAAACATATTTTAAAAGTGTTTCATTGTGGCTAACAAAACTCACTACAGTTACTTTACTTGCACTATAGTGTCACGTGAAGGATGTTGCACTGTGTACACAATGGACTTTATTAGTGCTTCTTTCAATATGAATTGTTACAAATAAAAATGGAAAACAACCCAAGAATATGATCTTAAAATATTTAATTTATATAAGATGTATATTCTGCACTTACAAATAAGCACAGCACAAATAAGTGGCTGTGCTGTTGGCACTTTTCAAGCTTCTAAATGAAGCAAGAACTATGCACAGCAGTTGGTTTTCAAAATTACTTCTTAGTGGTTTATATTTTTACCATGGCCCTAAGCAACTACTTTCCAAGTGTTGTCTTAGCAAACCTAAGCAAATAGCAAACCAGTCTATGCAATGCCTTCCTAGGATTCCAGAAGCTCCGATGACAACTTGTATGAATTTAGGATAATTGCATGAAGCAAATAGTAATAAAGAAGTAGAAAAGATGATGAGTCTCTAAAAATATCCTACTTTGTTATGGCATTTGTTAATTTTTTTTTTTACGAACTCAATATACATGGGGTTGATAGCACCAATTATTATAGCTGTTTATAGATTTTAACTGCAGATTATAATTACAGAAAATAAGTTTCTCTCCGCTAATCTTGAACTATTTGGCTGAAATATTACATTTCTAATGTCTGGTCTAGGTTGTTTTTTAAGTCAAAGCTATTTTTAATTTCTAAAAATATTTTTAGAGCCAAAATAATTTCACAGAAAAAAATACATTGTTTTGCACGTTTTCAATGAATGAAAGTCTATTCGTCCTATTGTATGGGACTAAAATACAAAAAAAAGGCATGGATGAGTCCTTGCTGTTAGGAAAACATGCTTTTCCGTCTTTATGAAAAACCTCCCAAATTTGGCTAGTTGATAAATCTTTGAGTAATTGTACAAACCTCATAAATTTTAACAAAGGCAAATATGAAGTCTTGCATCAGGAACAGAATAACCCAGTGCAACAGTAAGCACTAGGAGCCAATCAGCTAGAAAGCAACTTGGCAGAAAAGTGTCTGGAGGTGCTGGAGGACAGCAAGTTGAACATGAGTCAGCAAAGCGCCCTTGCAGCAAACGCCAATCATGTACAGGGCTGTATTAGCAGGATTGTCACCAGCAGGTTAAGGGAGGTGGTTGTTGCTCTCTGTTCAGTACTTATGAGGCTGTCTCTGGAGTACTGTGTCCGGTTTGGGTTCCTGTAGTACAAGAGAGATGCTGACAAACTGAACCAGGTTGGGCAGAGGGACAGAAAGTTGATTAGGGGTCTAGAGCATGTGGCATACAAGAAGCTGAGAGAACTGGGTTTGTTCAGACTGGCAAAGACTATTGGAGGGTCTAATTCTTGTTTTTACCTGGCTAATGGGAGGCTGTAGAGAACCCAGAGCCAGGCTGTTCTCAGACGTGCACACTGATCACACAAGAAGCAACGTGCACAAGCTGGAATGAGGGAGATCCTGTTTGTGAAAATCTTTTTTATTGTATCTGGAGAGGATAGTTAAGGCTTGGAACAGGTTGCCCAGAGGAGATGTTGCATATCCTTCCTTTGAGATACCCAAATCTCATCTGGTCAAATCCCTGAGCAACCTGGTCTATCCTTGATGTTGGCCCTACTTTGAGGAGGGGTTGGAACTAGCTGACCCCCAGAGGTATCTCCCAATTCAAATTACTATTTTAGAAATGAATATAAAAAAATTCAGAGATTTGCAGCATAAGTCTGAAAACTTTCTATCTCTGCTGAACATCACTAAGTGGGGGTAGAATGCAAGATGCATTGGTATTCCTTTCTAGAGGCATCTTAGATATCCTGGGATATATGCCTCACCAGCAGAAGTGGCTCCAGGTGCAGGTGTCCTGTAGGTTCTGCCAGCCAGCTTTGTGCAGATATCTTGGTTATCCTAAACATCTACAGCATAAGGTGTCTAACAGCTCCTTGACTGACTGACTTGCAACTCTGGGCTACTACAGTGGGACTTAAGACCAGGAGTTCATCTCACCGCAATTTGCAGCAGTGTATCACAGGATGATAGAATGGTTGAGGTGGGTAGGGACCTCTTAAGATCTCTAGTCCAACCCCACTGCTTAAGCAGGGTCAGCTAGAGCAGGTTGCACAGGACTGTGTCTAGTTGGGTTTTGCATATGTCCAAGTTCTGAGTATCTGGATGGTGTTTTCCTGTTTCCATGCCTGCTACTGAGAGCAGAAATCAGAATGTAAGCCTTACAGACAGCATCTTAGATGGAAGAGACAATGTAAAAGGGCTTGGCTGGTCAAAAAGGTCAAGAACTGGACAGGCTGGGCAGGAGATGGATAGTGGTGATCTGGTTAGAACTAGCAGAAGTGCCATTTCACTCAAATCTCCATTTGGATCTAGTTTTCAGTAAGAATAGTTGGAGCCACTTGTGTTAATTTAGCATTCTGACTATTTTTTGATCTCCTAGTGACTCTCAAAAAGCTGCTTAAGTCCTCTAAAATAGCGATACAGACACCTTGCATGTTCCTCTTCAGGATTCTCAATGATGTTGCACCTATTTTGCCTTCTTCAAATGCAATAGATTCATTGCTGTGTAAATTAGGTTTAAATCGTGATTTTTAGTGTTACAAATTTAGCATATGTCACTGTTGGGTTTTGCTATTAAGTTATAACTATTGCAAAGCTGGCTACATCTTGTTCCTTTTAGTGCCTGGGATGCTTTTGTAAGTTAAGCCAATTATGTCTAAAGAAATCAGATTTTATTTTAGGGAAAAACAACATGTTAGTTTGTAACAGTTGTTAGCTTTAAAATACAGTCAGAATTACAGAATAATAAACTGAGTGTGTTTTCACTTGAGTTGTATAAATTTTAAATGAAGTTCCTAGGCAATATCTAATTCTTGTTCGCCCCCCGACATAAGATTATGTAATAAATATACGAAATATTTAAAACCATTTCAGCTAAACAACGTGGTAGAAAATTAAACTTATGTCAGCAGGCTTTTATTAAGTCTGTCATTAGCAAGCCCTTATGTTTTAAAGACTGCTAAAAGCCAGTGGAGTACTCTTTGGAGTCCTTTCTTAAAATACCAGGATATAGGCTGTTTGGGAAAAAGGACTGACAATCGTTGAACATAAAGTGAAATTGAAGCCATGTGTTTTGGTAGATAGGACTTCAGTTAGGATAGTTTTCCTTGGCTTATTAACAAGCACAGGTTTGATCATTTGGCTTAGTTCTTCTCAGAAAGGAGCAAAGCCAGCAGCTGAAGGGTTGTTCCTGACCAAATCTGATAAACAAGAAATCATTGTCAATAAAGAAAGATAAAATCATTGTCAATAAAGAAAGTTATTTGTGGCATGAGATAGTGGTTGTGAAGTTTTGACTGCTGCATATGATGGGGTATGACAGTGTAAACTTACCCTATGATTCCTACAGTTTAATTATATATACTGATCTTTAGAAACTATACTTCAAGATTTTCACCTTTTTATAATAATCCCAAAGTACAATGCACAGTACATACTATTTAAATTCCAGAAATGGCAAGCTGCAAAAAGAAAGTTATCTAAATAACTTCCACATCATGTTTTCCTTTCTGTCCCCCCAAATATCCTCAGGAGATAGTGACTCATTCCTTGCTTTTATTTTTGGTTCGTTTGTCACAGACAGTGAAGACTGCCCTTTTTGTAGAGAAATCGAAATGCACAGTATATAAATTGTAATGAAATGTCATGATTTTTAAAGGCTTAACAGTAGGTATTTATATTTTTCAGTTTTGAAGATTAACCTGTTTTCAAACTTTATTGCCGCTAGTTAATAAAGGATCTTTTAGAAAGACTCTTTCATTTCATAGCACAATAGCATGTTCTGTATTATTTTAGAAATACTTAATATGTTTGCACAACTGCTTTCTTTAATATGTTTTGTGTGTACAAATTGTAGCTGTGTTCTGAGAAAGGAGCCTTGATAGTGTCTCAAAAACCTTTTTTGGATTTCAGCACAGCTTTTTAATTGATTTTGGGCAATTTTACTTCGTTATATAGATTTCATAAATATTTTGCACTTCTTTCTAAAAGAATATGGAAATGAGATAAACTTCTCTTTAAATTCAAGGGGATGAAGTTCTAGAATGGAATGGTAAACCCTTGCCTGGAGCTACAAATGAAGAAGTTTACAACATTATTTTAGAATCAAAATCAGAACCTCAAGTTGAAATTATTGTTTCAAGGCCTATTGGGTAAGGCTAAAGACTTGCTTCTTAAGCACAATTATTACTTCTACTAATGGGACTTTTAAAGGGACTATTTGTGAGTTTTGTTATTTTTAATCTCTTAATAATGGAATATGATTCACTTTCTATTATTGACATTCTGTATATTCCATTTTCTTCACTGCCATTTACAATCTTGGATCTTTGCAGTGATACATAAAAGTATAAATGTTGTTTTCTGTATGGTCAAAGTACTAACAAGGTTTTTGCCAAGTGGCAAAGGAAAATTGATGGATCAAGTGGACCTGTGCATGAGAAAAATCTGTTTTTCAGGCTTTTAGCTTCATTAAATCAGAATAACTTATATGAGTATTGATGAGTAGAAGGAAGCATCGGTGAACACTGAGCATTGCAGGATTTTAATAAGTCAATGCTAGTAGTATTTTAAACAGTCCTTCTTTAAAGAGCTAAAAAAAGGAAAACCAAAACTCTTAATTGAAAAGACTGTATTTAGCCTTAAATGATACTGTCATCAAAATCAAAAGTGGAAACAAAAATACCTTCATATTTATGAAGGTAATTTTTTTCATCAAAATTTAGCATTAATGTGTTATGTTTATAATCTTAATTTTTATTTTTTATAAATCCAGGTTTGGGGGTTTGTGGTAACAATTCTTATATTCCTGATTTCCCAAATAGGCCTTAGAAAGGTCATAAAATCTGTTCGAATTGATAAGATTAGTGGCGTCAGCCCTGCATTTGTCACAATTGTTTTAGTGATATTCTGCACTCCTTCCCTGAACACGACTCTACTGGGACCATTTTGAGCTAAGTCTTACAGGATTGAATATGAATCATATATTGTAAATTCACATTTATATTGTGGAACAGAGTCACATGATTAACAACAAAAACTGATTCTTGGCTAGTTAAAAAAAAAAAATTAAAAGGACTTAAATCTCTCTGTAGTCTGTCACCTTCCCAGAGTTCATGTGCACTCACTATAAGTCTCTCAATACCACTATCCTGTAGGTAGATGGTAAACTGTTTCCTCCTTATGAATGCCTGATTATTTCAATTTGAATTTGCTAGATTTCGTCCTAATTATAATTTTTCTCTGTCTCAAATATGATGTTTTCAGTTTTAGAAACAAAAAACTATTAATTTTCTTTCTGACTAAAACATTCTTCTTTTACATTTATTTCACGTCAGCTTTTGATGTTTGGTTTTGTCTCTACTATGCAACTGTTGCTATATTTTGCAAATGAGTTCTGCCTTTTTAATGGCAATCACTATTAAAAGTACTTAAATAAAATTAATATTCGTTGCTAATTCCAGTTATGAGTTTGACCTTCTAATGGAAAACGAAAGCTTGATGCAATAATAGTGGTTGTTAAAAGCTAAAATTACAATCCAGTTGGAGACTGTGGGGGAGTAGAAACCTTATTTTACATTCTTTAGTCGGATAAATTAGGAGACATTCCTGACCGAAAATTGCAAATTCAGACCTATGTCTTTGTAATTAAAAATAAAATGCCATAAGGAGAATTTCGGAAGTCTAGTTATTATGTTTAAATCGGCAGAAAAGAAATATGTTGATACTGGACCTGACTTGAACTCCATGTTTCAATTGAAGAAAACCTTGACTGTACAAGAAAAATTGATTTGTACAACTGATGTAAAAGGAAAGTGCTAGATTAGTTTTTTAAATAATGAGCTTTAGATATATTTATTGCTATCAGTATATTTGCAAATGTTGTGTATCTTTAAGCTTTTAAGATAACTTCATTATTATACCAATCAAATTAGTTTATGAATTTGATAAATCTAATAGCTTCAAAAAATGAAGTACAAGGTGACCACATTCCAGTGACATATTCTTGAAGAAAAATCAAGAGAAAATACCACAACTGTTGAACTGAGGCATGGAATGTGAAGTGCTTTCAAAAAGAATGTTTCTGAATCTGAGCAGTGAATTTTACACTAAAAAAGTGCACCCAGAAACAGTACCAATAAAATGTATAGTTTTGCTTTGGATGACCCATACATATTTTTTTCCAGACAGGCAAAAATAGAGCACATCAGATTGTGCTTTTATTTTGAGATAAATGGAGTCTTGGCATGGAGGTTTTTACATGGTATAACACCACTATTCTTGAAGAGTTGTGTCTTGATTGATTTTTTTTTTTTTTGAGAAGAGCACATAAATATCCCAAAGCGACTAGAGCATATAACTTTGAAATTTAAAGATAGTTTCTTTTTTTTAATGAGTTAATTTCCTGTTGTTTTGTATCAGATTGGGATTTACCTGTCTGTCATCTTAAAAGAACAAAAAATATCAGACATTGTACAATGAAGGAAATCCTGATACGAGTTAACAAAAAAAGAGCATACTGCACAGGATTTTCTTTTTCTTTCTTTTTTTTTTTAGTAATTATAATCTATGTAAACTGTGTTACATAATGGGAAATGGTTTGCTTGCATTAACAGATTACTTACTTTCCCCCCCTAGCTTCTCCTTGTCTTGTTATCCAAACTGTGTAATTGTTTCAAACTCGTGACAGGGAATTTTATTTAATCCAACAAATCTAGTATATCAAAGTTTTGTGTCTACTTTAGGTGCTGAATCAGCAAAATCGAAGCTGCTTGATACAGCATTAAGTGGTAATCCATTACACCTAAAATTCCTGTGAGGAAATAGGTTCCCGAAAGACCTGAAAAGTGCTATTTCGTCTGCATAATTTAAGTGTTTTCATCTCAGTATTAATAATGCAAATAATGTTCCAGCACTTTTAATGGTCTCTATTTAAAAAGTCCTAGCATATTAGGTCTAAAAAGCCCAAATATGACACAATTTGGCTTGAGTGAATAATGGGAGGACTGTAAGCCCACAAATTAGATGACTGCCAGTTACGAAATTGATGTCTAAACAATTTGCTCAGTCTTGTAAATTTGGATTTGTGTGTGTAACAGCAAATGTAATTTTGAGTAATGGATAATGTAGGATGTTTATTAGAGAAAAATGTGAAATGTAACACTATTAGCAGATGAAGGCATAACAACAATAAACAGTATAACCACAATAGTACCTTAAAAACTCCATAGAAACTAATTGATGCTAATGATGCAACACAAGGTAGATAAGAAACCTATAAAAAGTAGAATTAATGGGTTGGCTACGAGGGGAAGAATTACCTATGAATATGCATAGAACGTGAGAGGCGTTTAACATAGGACAGCATAGAAAATCCTCCGGCAGTATGCTTTTTGGAGAAGGAACCTGGCATGGTAACTAACTCACCGTCTCTTGTGTGCTCGGGTGAGCTCTATGGGATAGTCAGGTAAAACAAATGTTTTTTTCATTTGTCTGTTTTCTTTGTCAGATGCTAGCTATCTTTGCTTGGATTTCCACAGATAACATTGCCAAAATCGTTCTTTCTCTGGTGTGATTCAGCTCCTCTGTTCAGGGACTGCTACTGTGCTCTAGGTCCTTGCAAGGAGGTTTAACCTCCATCATAAACCAGGCAGTACTGAATTGCAGAGAGTCACTCAGGTAATGTGATCAGTGCAAACTGCGGATTGATCTACAGGTTCTGATGGGAAGGAACGGTTTTGGAAATAGGAGGATGAGCACTGGGGACAGGTACTCAGAAACTCTGAAAACTCTGTAGGGTGTAGAGGACGATGCTTCCGTCCCTAGAGCAACCTGAAGAAGTGTGGTTTACAACCACATTTGAATTTGGTTTGTCTTCAGTGATCAAGCTCTTGACTATAGCCCTCAGAGAAATTATAGCTGTTCCTGTGTTTTACAAAATAATGATCCTCACAAACCATATATCTGCACAGAGTCGTCTCAACCTAAGGTATAGTTTGGTTTAATTTATGTATTCGTTGAGGTGTGGAAGGGTCAGACATAAGATAGTCATATGTTACATCACATAAGATCACACAAAACCTTTGCCTTTCAGGGTAGAGAGAGAAAGACAAAGCTCAATGTCAGCAACTCTTTACTGGAATGTGTCTGACATCACTTTTCTGACGTTCACATTGCTCTGAAAGCAGAGCAAAATTTTGTTCTTATTTTCAATAAGTGGCTCTGCTACTTCTTACTTTATTTTTACCATTTGCTTTGACTAGTCTAGTTTTTAATATTATAAGTCATGAAGTTTCTACTATTTCTTCTGAAGAGCTTTTTTTGTAAATCATAGTGCTAGAATATTTCCTGCAATCCATAAGAACAGGCTGGATAAGACTCATTTTCTTATCTAGCAAGCTTCAGATTATAGTTTCTTTTTAGAATTTTCATTCTTCAATTAAAATGTCAATGTTTAAAAAAAAATACCACTCATACATTTGATAAAGTCCCTAGATATATAACAGTAGTTATTTTCTCGTGGGCATGTAATATTTAGGAAATGATTATGTGGATTATTGAATTTGTAAGAAGTTTAAATATGGACAGAAGCATAGCTTTGAATTATTTCATGTCCATTTTGAAATCAATAGCAGAAAGCAGGACTGTTACAGAGCTTGTTAGGATACTCTGGCATGAGTTTGGTGATCAGTACTGTATTGCATACTTAATTTATTGGTTTCTTTGCTTTTTGTGTCTTACAGCAAGATAAATATATTAGGGGAGAGAAGGTTTCCTAGCAATAATTTTATGTATATATATACACATACACACACATACATACACTTCAGATACATATATATTTAAGCTGTCCATTGTACTATAAAGTTTTAGAGATTTCCTGAGGGTGAACAAGCTCTAATATGGTGGGGATGAACGGGGTGGGTGGGAAAGCTGCCAAATGACATTTCTATTGCAAACCATGCATTTTGTCGGGAGTTGAAATTTATGTTCTAGTTTCCACTGTTCCTGCAGTTTTTCAAAAGAATTACAAGGGGTTTAGAAAAATACATTACTAAATTATACTTTCATTTTTTTCCTGTCTGATTAGTAAAGTCTTAAGATCTCATTATTTTTGTCATTTACCTTTACCTGGCGAGGACTTTTGTATCGCCAGCTCTAAGTGAGGAAAATACTATCAACTTGACCATTTTTTCACCCACCCAGGAATTATGAAACTTTACATAGTAGGTTGCACTTTCCATGTTGAAACACTCCTTGCAGATACGAGCCCTTGTTTAGATATCCTAAATGGGATATTATTACAAACAATGCTGTACTGCAGACAAGAGTGTTCATATTCTAGCAGAAGAAAACATTGCAAACTTAATGTTGTATTGGACAGAAAAATCAGTTTGAATATGCTAAGTAAAGATTTCAGACTGATGAGAATTGCACTGGAAACTGAAGGGAGAAAATGTTAAGAGGAAGAAGTCTGCACAGCAGCCCTGCTGTGCAAGATGTCGTTATCTGTTTATATTTTTGTGAAGTAGCACTATTCCATGTCAAGAATAAGTAATGCAGTTATATTTCTGTGAGTTTGAGAAAACCGCATTACTCTTGAATTACAAAGTCAAAGCAAAGAGAAGCACATTCTTGTGGAGTGATATGAGATGTAAGCTGATGTGAGAATTAACTGGGAGCTGAAATAGGCTTTTTTAAAACACATGCACCAGAAGTTTAAATTGCAGGACATGAAAAACAAATTTAAGACTAATTGATTGGGCACTGTTACATTCCTTTTCTGACTTGTCTCTTTTTCATAAGTGACTTTTATACACCCAGGAGTCTTAGTTTTATTGACTTCCAAGTCAGTAAGATAGTGTTTCACTGAACAGAGAAATGCCTGAATACCTTTAAATGCTCAGCCATAGACTTAAAATCTTGTAAATGTTCTTCAGAAATGTTATTGTAGTTGCAATTTTGGGTTATTTTGTGTAGATGAAAATATTTTCATGTAATTCACTGAAGAGCTTTGTTTCCATTTTCCTGCTCTGCTGCTTTGCTAACATTTGTACAATAACAGATATTTCTTGCTCTCGCAATGTATTTTCAATGATTGGTGAGAACAGGAGAGAGTCAGGAGCTAGGATCATCCAGATTTTGATGGAAGAGTGAATTTGTTGATGGCAAAATTTTGATAGATGTGTGTAGACTTAACCAGTTTGATTTTGCTTATACCCGTATGTGTGCTGGGTATATGTATGTCGAAAAATGTCCATAACTAATCGTAATATGGTTTTTTGGGGTTTTTTTTTAGCCTTTGAAGAAATGCATTACTCTTTTGTTTGTTTAACATTGCTAATGTTATTTGCTTTTTCTTTTTATTATTATAAGCCATTTTCATCAGTTTCATTCCGTGAACTCCTTGCGACGTTTATATAAAAATTACTAGTGAGTTAATCTATGTCTTATTTTTTGGATTTTTTTCCTCCAAAAAATAGTTGAACATCTGTAGCTATACTACCTTTTGCCACCTTTCTCTTCCTAAAAGCTCTCTAACTTTATTGTTCTGGTTGTAAAAATATCGTGGAATCCATCCACAATATTAATGTTGTAGTGCTCATATTGTTATGTCTGCTAGTTCCTTAACTTGAAAGAAGTAGTTTGCATTAGTAAGATTTTCATGAATGCTAGTGGAAAATATGTCTTTAAATATTTCCCCTTTCTTTCCTTGTAACCCATTAGAACAGAAACAGATCCATATTTCTAAAAAAGTGTCCCAGAAACATTTGTTACCGCAGAAGGTCGTCTCTGTTTTTTCTAATTACTATGTGTATATTCACGTTTTAGTGATATTCCACGGATTCCTGAGACTTCTCACCCCCCGTTAGAGTCTAGTGAGTACACACCTCATTCCTTTCACTAAGCATGGTCTTGTAGCCAGCACAATCATTTCGGCTATGAATTTTGTGAAAGATGAGCACTGGGAGACTGCATTGGCTCCGAGGTTTTTGTATGACAAAATTCAATGTGTTTTGGTCTTGTGTGTTAAATTTGAAACAATATAGATTTGATTAAAAGCCATCCAAATTTCAAATGTTAGCAGGATTTTATTGTTTTCTTCTATACCGTGTGGTTTTAGTACCATACCGGTATACATGCTGTGGCCCAAAACAGTCGTTTACTTGCCCTAACGTAGGAGAGAAAACAGGTATAAGGGATTTCCAAAGGTACAAATGGTGTCAGGATTTCACCTCCTGCACTATCCAGCATAAGTCCAGAGTTCTTGTTTCTCTTTTTCTTAACAAGAAAACGTTGGTTAGGTGAACTTTTTGTGTATCATGCTTCAAAAGAACAGTTTTGTTTTTAACTATTCCATTTGAACGGTGTCAGCTAGAGTGTGTGAGAACATGGCTCCTAGTCCTTTCTCATCTAAGCCTTGTCTGAGATGCAACCAGAAGTCTTCCCTGGGACAGGGTCCTGTGGGGCCACCGAGTAGTGTTACACCTGTCACGAGCTCATCTCATTAGTGAGGGCTCTGCTTCGCTGGTGGAGAATTGCTGATGTCCAGCAGGCACCGGAGCATCCTCCATGCCAGACACATGTCCTGCATACCTTCCTGTGTGCCAGTTCCTTGGGAGTTAATATTTCAGAGGCTACCGGGAGTATAATCTGTACAACAGATGTGGGTATATTCATCAAAGATTTGAGATCATAGAATCATAGAATAGTTTGGGTTGGAAGGGAGATATGTAATTTTGTCAGAGGACAATATTTTATTTAAAACACTTGGTATGGTTTGTCACTGCTATATGAGGAGCACTTTTTTGTATGTTATTTCAAATAAAACAAAACATGGGAGGTTTAATTTGGGGTAAGGGTATCCAGACAGTCTTTTTCACCATGCTATCTACATCAGTTTAAAATCTTTCTGTATATTAATCCAGTTATACTGTGTATAAATACAAGCTTTATACAATTCAAAGAAAAAGCAATTCGTAAGTTATCCAAATTCACTTCAAAATTTTGGATGGAAAGTTCATGTGTTTCTCATATATTTTTAGGTTCAAGTTCTTTTGAATCACAGAAGATGGAAAGGCCTGCTATTTCTGTTATATCTCCGACCAGCCCTGGAGCCCTACGGGATGCACCACAAGTCCTACCAGGGCAGCTTTCTGTGAGCATATCTTGTTTTTCCTGAGTTGTTAACGCAAATCTGTGAAGTGCTGGTCCCTCAGCCCTCCACATTCCCAAGGTCTATTGGGAGGTCAGGAGAAATGTCTGCTGTTGGTAAAGACTAACATCTTTCAAATGTTTTTTAAGACCCCTTGTACACACTCACAAAGCATCACTGTAATCACAGCAGAGGTAAAGAATTGTCTTAATACACCAAAGAGTGCAGGAATTTACATTGAGAGGAGCCCATAAAAGTGCCTTGTAACTTGTCATCCTGTACCCTCTGCATTGAAAATAGTCACTCTTCTGTACATGCCCAGTAATCTGCAGATAACAAGCATAGTACCACTTTATCTTCTTTCTGGGAGCATTTAAAGAGCTGCGTATTTGTTAAGAGTGACACTGTTTAGTAATGCATTTTAATTTAGATACACACTACATACTGGAACTGTCTGTAATACTAATTGAAGCTGTGCTTATTAAATATACTGTGAGTACTTAGACTTTGTTTTGTGCATTCTTATATTTTGATCATATTAATTTCTAAGTATACAGCAGGCTGAAAAATTTCACGATTCTCTTAAGAAATGATTTAGCTGTATATTATACTTTTCATAAGAACATTTGCAAGGTGACAAATCAGAGTAGATAGATTTCAACTATGCCTCGAGTTTAGCTGCAGTCAGAGCTTCCTATTTGAATGTAGCTTTTAAGATGCAGAGCTAAGACATATGCTAGTTTAAATGCACTCACAGATACAAGATTATATAGTGAGTACAATGAACAATGTAAGTATAATCAGGAACCACCATTTTATTCAGTTGTGGTAAATACAAAAGTCTTTGGTATATACCATCATCTTTTCCATCTAACTTAATTAAATATTAAGGGATTTGAAATAAAATATATCTCATTGTCTCTTGGAAAAAGCAATGGTTACTTTTACATTGTGGTTAATGTGATGCAGTCTGAAAGTTCTGGTTTTTCTCCATTTTGAGTAACGTTTTGTGGTAACTTGATTCTTGTAGGTTAAACTGTGGTACGACAAAGTGGGACATCAGTTAATAGTAAATGTTCTGCAAGCAACAGATTTGCCACCAAGAGTAGATGGACGCCCCAGGAATCCCTATGTAAAAATGTATTTTCTTCCAGACAGAAGGTAGTAGTTTTTCAGTTTAGAAAATTATCTTGCAATTTACCATGTATTGAATCAACTTTTAAATGAATGCTTATCAAGTAAAGAATTCCTTTTAATAATTTGTTATACATTAATTTTAACAAAAAATTGCGCTTGAATCATGGAAGTCAGTATCGAATTAACTTTGTGGACTTTTTGATGAATATGATGCACTGTACAGTAAATACTTTTCTCTTTTAGGCATTATCAGATCAGAAAGAATGAAAACAGTGAGTGCTGATGAGTAGATGGCATTTTGTGATTTATCTCTACAAACAATTTACAACAAATATTTATGTTTCAGTGATAAGAGTAAAAGGAGGACCAAAACAGTAAAGAAAAGTCTAGAGCCAAAATGGAACCAAACTTTTCTCTACTCACATGTACATCGTAGAGATTTTAGAGAACGAATGCTTGAAATAACCGTATGGGATCAGCCAAGAGTGCAAGAAGAAGAGAGTGAATTTCTTGGAGAGGTGATACAATCACATTTCTCCTGAATTCGTTGTTTGGTTTTGAATACATATGCATATATATTTTATATATGTGTTTGTGTGTGTGCCTTGAAAGTAAAATTAAAACCTGATAATTTTTCTACTAGATTCTTATAGAGCTGGAGACAGCACTTTTAGATGATGAACCACATTGGTATAAGCTACAGACACATGATGAATCTTCACTACCTCTGCCTCAGCCATCACCTTTCATGCCAAGAAGACATGTTCATGGTGGAGAAAGCACTAGCAAAAAATTACAAAGTAGGTCCAAATTCCATTCATCTCTTTTAAATTTTAAATTAGAAATGCCAGATATGGTGTAATGGTTTTTAACTTTCATATACAAGATAAAAATACTATTTCGTAGTCTTTAAACATAATGAAAATGTGTGGCAGAAAAGAGATGCAAATTATGACATTATGACATGACAGCCTTTCACCTGTGATGCATAACTTTTAAGTATGTGAAACCTGTTGGAATTGGTTTGGTTTTCACTAGCAAAAGAAAATTGTTCAAACATTTGTTTGCATAAATTTCCTTTTAAATAGAAAGGTGAAGTTCGTCGTTACGGGATACTTTTTAATAACTAAAAGCTTTTTATTTAAAAAAAAGAAAGTCCTTAAAGACTTATGAGGCTTAAAAACACTTTTCATCATAAAGTTAGTTTCAACCTCCAATACGCTTATTATACAATCAGATGAGAAGTGTACTTTTGCAGCAAAGAGAAATTGTATGAATGTATTTGGGAGGTACAGTTGTTTTGATAAGTCTCATTTTAGGTTTGTATGAGGCATATTAAAATAATGAATGTATTGAAATATTTGAATATTGTAGCTTCTCTGTTCATTTAAATTAATTTAAGATTTATTTAGAAATAAGAAGGACATAGGGGATTATTTTAAAATACGTTTCCAAGCTATTTTTCTGTTTTTTCTTAAACATGGAAGTCAGTCATTCCAGCCAATGCATAGGAAATTGGTACACATTCAGGAATGAATTATAAAAATGTGACACTGCTGTAATTGCTGCATGAGGATATGTATAGAGCGAGCAAATTAAAGGTTAGTTTTCATGAGATGCTTGAACTTTTCTAAAAGCTCGCAGTGCTGTTTCCTCTTCCCCTCTCTCACCATATGCTGCCACCTCTTCTTTCCTGTTCAGCAAGCTGATTCAGCTTACTCACTGAAATAGCACAAAAGTAATTTTTTTCTTTATTTGAGTTAACTTTTTGCTGGTTTAGTGAGATAAACTATCCTAGTAGAGGATTACTGAGGACTTGAGGGAAGGAGAAGGGGAAAGGAGGCTGCAGCAGCTGTAAGATGTTAAATTGGCTCAGCTGTCTTGTGAAACGTCACTGTCAGTCACTGCAGTTTAGCTTTCCTCCTCTATTGTTTAGACTTAAAATCATCTTCTTCATTTCAGTAGTACATTAAATGAACTTATTTTTACATTTTATAACACGACCAGATGTTCAGGTATTTGTTTACCTTACTGTTGTGCAGGATCTCGGCCAATCAGTGATAGTGACATCTCAGATTATGATGTTGATGATGGTATTGGAGTTGTTCCTCCAGGTGCGTGGGTGAACAGCATGGTCCTGCTTTATTCTTCTTCTTCTTCTTTTTTGCTTGTTTGTTTTTTTTTCTTTATAACATTTTGGAATATTGAGGATACTGGTTTCGGAGAATGCATTGTGAAAAAAACAGTTTTCCTGATTATTCCATGGTACCTGTCCTAAATCGTGGTGAATTGAAAGATCCTACTATTCATTCATTGATATTTCTTTTACATATCATTCTTCATATGTGAACCACTGGACGGTTCAAATTGTTTAATTGTTTACTGCGTAATGTTCCAAGCATTATTTAAAATTGAAATTAAATTCAAAAAATCATTTTAAGATAGTAATTAAGATTTCAGTGTTTATTGCAAGCATTTTTTTTTAATTTTGCTTTTTGCTCGAAACTTAGATATAATGCAGTCTCCCATGGACTTTATTGAGAATGCATGGCTGTAGATTAAGATGCATGTAGCATGGCTATATCTTTTATAGTTTTCATAAGCCTTCATGAACTATCATTACATAAATGTTCATAAAGATATACTTGTAGAGACTATCGTGGTTTGACTTTTAGTTCAGCATTCCTTACATGCTGAAAATCTTGAGGATCATTTTGGACACCATATTTTTCTACTTCTGTTTGACTGTTGCCACAAGTCAGATGAATATGTTTCCCAATTGTCCCAAACTAACTGAAGAGTCACTATGTCATTGCCAGCACTAAATCAGTTTTTCTGTGGATCTTCCCGATGAAAATCACTGAATTAAATCATGGTGGGATTTGGAAAGCACTCTATCTTCTTGATCTGTGTTTAAAATAATCTGACAATTTATTTATTAATTATATAACCATACAAATAAATCACATATTTTATTAATGCAATATCATTTTGATGTTTACTGAGCCAAATTCTCCATCCTTTGATATTGACTGGGTTCTTTCCTTACTTTAATACACTTACCACCTGAGTTACTAAAAGGCAAATTTGTTTGGGTATGTCTAGTAATGATATTTGCTTTAATGAAGTGATTAATCTAGATATTTTTACATCAGCTGAGAGAATGAACATTTAAAATTAAAATAAATCATAGGTTCTAAGTATTTTTTCCTGTTTATTATTTCATTTTTTTAGTTGGCAATGTATATAATGGCATATCTGTGTAGACTTACGTTTAAAAGGTTTCAATATTAAAGAATTAAAGCCCCAAAGTATTAAGAATTGGGGCTTTTTTTCAGCTGCCAGTTCTTCAAGGCATCCATTTGCCATTTGAAATAAACCTGTGGTGGGTTGACCCTGGCTGGATGCCAGGTGCCCACCAAAACTGCTCTATCACTCCCCTCCTCAGCTGAACAGGGGAGAGAAAATACAGCAAAAGGCTCATGGGTCAAGATAAGGACAGGAAGATCACTCACCAATTACCGTCATGGGCAAAACAGACTTGACTTGGTGAAAAATCAGTTTATTACCAATCAAATCAGAGCAGGAAATAAGAAATAAAACCAGATCTTAAAACAACTTCCCCCCACCCCTCCCTTGTTCCCAGACTTAACTTCACTCCCGATTTTATCATAGAATCATAGAATAGTTTGGGTTGGAAGGGACCTCTAAAGGTCATCTAGTCCAACCCCCCTGCCATGGGCAGGGACATCTTCACCTAGATCGGGTTGCTCAGAGCCCCCTCCAACCTGACCTGGAATGTTTCCAGGGATGGGGCATCCACCGGTTCTCTGGGCAACCTCTGCCAGTGTTTCACCATGGTAATTGTAAAAAATTTCTTCCTTAGATCTAGTCTCAATCTACCCCCCCTTTAGTTTAAAGCCATTCCCCCTTGTCCTGTCACAACAGGCCCTGCTGTTGTTTTCTCCACCTCCTCCCCCTCAGTGGCACAGGGGGACGGGGAATGGGGGTTGGGATCAGTTAATCACATGTTGCTTCTGCCGCTCCTTCCTCCTCAGGGGGAGGACTCCTCACACTCTTCCCCTGTTCCAGCGCTGGGTCCCTTCCATGGGAGACAGTTCTCCATGAACTTCTCCAACGTGAGTGCATCCCATGGGCTGCAGTTCTTCACGAACTGCTCCAGTGTAGGTTCTTTCCACGGGTGCAGCCCTTCAGGAACAGACTGCTGCAGCGTGGGTCCCCCGTGGGGTCACAGGTCCTGCCAGGACCCTGCTCCAGCACGGGCTTCCTATGGGGTCACAGCCTACTTCGGGCATTCACCTGCTCTGGCGTGGGGTCCTCCACGGGCTGCAGGTAGATATCTGCTCCACTGTTAATCTCCACGGGCTGCAGGGGGACAGCCTGCCTCACCATGGTCTTCACCACGGGCTGCAGGGGAATCTCTGCTCTGGTGCCTGGAGCACCTCCTCCCCCTCCTTCTTCACTGACCTTGGTGTCTGCATATTCTCACTCCTCTCTTCTGACTGCTGTAGTAGCTGTTGCACAGCAACATTTCCCCCTTCTTAAATATGTTATCCCAGAGGCGCTACCACTGTCGCTGATGGGCTCAGCCTTGGCCAGCGGTGCGTCCGTCTTGGAGCTGGCTGACATTGTCTATCGGACATAAGGGAAGCTTCTAGCAGCTTCTCACAGAAGCCATCCCTGTAGCCCTCCCACTACCAAAACCTTGCCACACAAACCCAATACAAAACCATTTTCCATCTGACAGGAAACGTTCAAAAACATTCAGCTGAATGCATTGGACTCTATTCACGGGGTCAGCACTTGAGTAACTGATTCTTACGGAAATTTCTTGGGACTGTGCATGCTCAGGTGTGCCTTTCAAGAATGCATGGGTCCAAACTTTCTCAGAGATCACTGTAGAAAATTGCAAGATTTAGTCTGTAGCAATAGGATTTACAATAAGCTGAGAGTCTCTAAACTGAAATACGAAGGGCCTGGTGAGGAAACTCCTTCTGAAGTCCACCTAATCAGAAACAATCTGGCAGCTGTCCTGACCAAGGACAAATCTATCTATTTTGAGTTTAATGGATACATGTTTGGCAAAACAGCCTAGACAGCATATGAAAATGTGTTTTGCAGTGAGAGCTGGAAAAAGGTTGCCAGTCCCACCGTCTACTGAATTGCTCGAGAATCTTAGGCACAGATTCACAAATGTGCCTGGACACCAAGTTCAGATACGCATTTCTACCCTCCTATCCAACCTTCCTTACTTATCACATCGCTAAATCTTCTAAGACTTTGGATTGCTACCTTCATTTGCACTGAATGAATAGTACAATATCTTCTCCATCTATCAGTCTCCTCTGTTAAAATTAAGTTGCGTGCAAGTTCCTTGTTGTGCTGCAGGATCTTTACCCCTTCCCTCCTCCTTCCCCCCAACACCATGGACCTCACCAGAGTGCACTGCAGCTCTTGTCTGGTCCAGATTTCCCCCACGTTCTCCTGCAAGGTATGCGTGTGGGAGGGAATGACGAATATCCATATTTCCCCATAGTGTAGGATGATGATGCAGCTCAGGTGCACTCTTTAAACATTTTGGCATAGCCTCTATTGGCTTCAACAAGATTAGTCTAGGATTAAGATATTCCTTCTCAATGGAAGTAAGAATATCAAAATTGAGTTTACACGTGACGCAAAAGAAAGTGTTTCCCTTTAAAGGCCCTTTTCCTTCCTTTACCATTTACTTGCCAATGTTACCCACTGTGGTGCTTATATATGATAAATAAGCTCTGTCTTTATTAAAGGTATATTCTTACAGTGGTTAATTTATTCTATTTCTTCAAATATTCAGAAGAGAAGGAAGTTATTTTGCCTTCTTAATATCTCAAGATTTTCACAAAGATTATTGCTCATTTTCTAAAAAACAGACACGTAACTGCAAAATGTAGAAGCAAAAAAGTTCACTTGATCACTACCATAAACTAAAAAAGGAATGATGAAAATACTACCACTAATTTAACTAACATTGGAAATCCTTGAAAGCATAATTTCAAATGTTTTACCAATTGCTAAGGCAAATGCAGTATTAGCATTTAGTAATAACAGAGAAAACTATTTTCCTCGAGGTTTCAGCAGCTGCAAAGAATCACTGCTTGTTGATGAAAGTAGAGACAGCTACATCAAAAATAATGGCACTTTGATATCTTCAAGAATATTTTAAGAAAAGTATTTTTCCTTTGTCATATCACAAATGTGTCTTATCTTTCATATAATTGTACTGTCCTCATTTATTATTAGTATCTCACAGTGATATATATAATTTTTTTTAAATCAGCTCATAGAACTGCTCATAAAAGGAGTTTATATCAACAGCTGAAAGTAACTTTAATTTGAAGCTCAGCTTTAACAGAATTGATTTTTGACAGGGTTTTGTGTTATAGTCACATCTATTTACATGAAGAAAATACTATTTTAAATCTCTTAGCCTGTCCTCATATGAGAGATGCTTCAGTCTCTTAATTATCTTTGTGATCCTGAGCTGGACTCACACCAGTAGTAACTCCATGTCTGTCTTGTACTGAGGAACGCAGTACTCCGGATGTGGCCTTACCAATGCTACGTGTATAGGAAGGGTCAGTAAAGGATCAGTGAAGGATTTAATAAAAACTGAACATGTTCTGAGGCCTATCTTTTTAACCGAAACTTCAGTAACTTTCTTAATTAAAAAGAAAAAAATCTGATATATAGTTGGCAATATCCCAAAGGACATTTTTAATGAGCTCTATAGCTTATGCTATGGGTAACTCTTCAGAACAATTTTTTTTTCTATCATATGTAATCTGTATAAATGGTTGCATTGTACTTACCTTCCTCCTGTAGCAGTAGGGTGACATCAACACAACACTTTGTCATTGTCTGTATTGTCTTTAAAAAAAAGAAAAGTTCTGGTATCAAATATGTGCTAGAACCATTTTCATCATCCATCCAGCTTCCATTTCATGTCACACCTGACAGTTTCCCATGAGCAACTGAGAAACTTCTGCGTAAACTATCATGAGCTTGATTGCTGCTATCATGCTGGTCCATGCAAAAAAATTCTCTGCTCACTCTGGAGAGCACAGAGCCTTTGTATTTGAGGATATGAGGAAATGTTACTGTTGCTGTCACTGTCATGGTCACTATGGAAGTATGGATGCAATTTGACCAACTTGACAATACGTAAGCTAATACTTAGGATAAATGTGAATTGTTATTGCTTTGTCTGTTCTGTAAGCTTTGTGTACATACAATGCACAAGTTTCAGATATTGTTCCCTGGATAGCTTGGCAATAAAGAATATATAGGATAAAATCATTTTTCTATACCAGATTTCTAAGTGTACAGGGTAATCCTAGGTGTATTTTTTTAGGCAGACTAGAGGTAGTCTAGAAATATATTTTAAACTGAAATTTACATTTAATTTTTTTATATTTAAATTAGATGTATTTCAGTACAGTTGCCTAAAGCTTGGAAAGAAGTTTTGGATTCCTTTGATTTTAGTGTTGAATAAATGTAAACTAGTGTTCCTTCAGATAGAGATGACAAGATTTTATCTAAAACAAGCTTGTTTGGAAAATGAGATATCTTTTAGCACATACAGCTTAGATTTAATTATCCTGGGAAAGGGAACACATCTAGCTTTTGTCATGTGTGGTCTTTTTTCTTCCTCTGACAAAAAACCAGACATTTTCTACAGCAACCTTAGTACATGAGATGAGGGAATCTCCACTGAAGTCTGAGGGAGTCCCTTTTTTGCCTCAAAATTTGCACCCAGTCCTTGTCCTGAGATCAGGGAGATCCTCCTATTTCTGTCTAATTTTAGTACATAACTGTAAAACATTTTTACAACAGATAAGGTACTCCAGCATCACAGTGCATCAAAACCTGCAAAACATTGGAGTCCTTCTTTGTTAAAAGGTTGATAAACCTCAGTAGATACTTTCATGCATGCCATCAACTTTTACGGGTCTATTTTGCAGTCAGTACTCAGTACAGCTGTGCTATTAAAAATGCCCATTAAGTGGCAAGCATTTGCTGTTTATGTAGCTGCTAGTGAGCTCTCCCAAAAGTTTTTTCTCCATGTCCTTCTCTGGTTTTCACGATAGTCCCCAACCTTCCCAAACTTGAGTAATGTCACATTTTAAATCTGAGACTATATTAATTATTTTTATTTGACATGTCTCACTCAGTGTTTGGGAACAGTGCACACATGCACACAACATTATGGTCACTGATGTTTGTTTCGGAGCGACATGATAAGTCCTTATTACAAGTGCTTTTCTTTGGGCCCAATCCTACCCTCTAAGATCTATCGGTACTCATACTGCTTCCCGTTTCCCTGATTTATTAACCTCATCCCACCTCTCTGCTTCAACAAATGGAAGAAAAAAGTTATTTTTCATGTTCTCACACCAGCCGCTATACTATGAATTATAAGACATGAAAGTTGGACAAAACCATAGCAGAACTGGCAAAGGTCTTTCTGCATATGTTTTCTAGCTGACAGTAACCAGAAAGTCCATAGTAAAACTGTCTAATCATCTTTTTGTTAACCTTGTCTCCTTCACACCTGCCTTCCCTATCATATTTGTAGTGGTAAATATATTAAAGACAAGAAGGAATTATTGAGGCCAATCTTTTTTTATTTACTAAAGTTGCTGCTGGTGTAAGGCTGGAAGCTACTGCAGGATACTACAGCACCTTGGTGCTCATCTGTTGTCTTTGGATAACTTTTGCTAGTTTGCTCAGTACTATATAAAAGGTGTGGACACGGTTCTGGAGGCTGTGTTATTATAAGCTGTATAATCAGGGAAAACAGTCTTAGAGTTCCTTGGATGATAAATCCATAATCTAGTAGGTCCCTGTTCTCAGTTTTGTGTTACTAAAATAATCTTGTAATCTAATTTAAATGTCTAGAAGTGAGCAACTGAAGTCTGAGCAAATCTTCTTATGCTCTTTTGGAAAGATAACAGGCACCTTTTGAAATCTGTTCGTCTTACTGAGCTTCATTGTCTGTTTTAGGATGGGATTCAAAGTGTGTATCAAGGAAACAGTGTGCTACATGGAAAAAGGCACAGGAATATCAACACTTTAAAATGTACTAACATTCTGCTCATTTTTTTTTTTTAAATCCTATGTAAAAATGAGCTACGAGAAACTTTGCAGTATAGTATTTGGAAAAAATGTTGTGCAGAGTATGCAACACCCAATATTTTATACAATATACTCTAAATGCGCATAATTTTTGAAAGTAGGTGGCTTTGGCCAAGTTTGGTAGAGAATATCTTTGTATTTAACTGAAATAAAAGTCAGAAGGATGCTTTATATGTGAGCAGTCCTGGATGAGTCTGTGCTGCTGTACACAAGCGTGCCTTCTCCATTTGTTACATGAGGTAAACCTATATTGCTTGGATTCCTTTCAAGTATTTGCTACTGTATGACAATTTTGAAATACAAGTTACTCTGGGTACTCTTCCGCAAGTCAGAAAAATATTTCAGTCCTCTCCTCCACATCGTCCAGTATGAAAATCATATCAGTTTCTCTGTCTCTGTACATGTAGACATTTAAAGGTAATGCTTGTAATTTATCCTGGCTGCATGATACGTCGTGATGTACAACAGCTGAATGACAACTTGAAAGTTGTGTAAGCATTTAGATGCGTGTTCCTGGAAGGACTAACCATCTGAATTCTTTCCAAACCCAGACTTTTATTATCTAATTTCTGTTTTTTGCCCTCTTGCCAGTAGGTTATAGATCTAGTACTAGAGAAAGTAAATCTACAACGCTAACTGTGCCAGAACAGCAAAGAACAACACATCATCGTTCACGATCTGTATCTCCTCACCGTGGCGACGATCAGGGCAGGACCCGTTCACGTTTACCAAATGTGCCATTACAGAGGTAGGCACCACAAGTCAGTGAAATGCTGGGTGGTTTCAAGTTTGTATAATCTGTCACTATTAACTTTTCTCTTGTTCAGCAATTTTTCACAATTTTAAAACTTTTTTGTATCTTAATTTAATAGTGTAGTATTTGAACTTGATGTATGCTTTTATTAATCATTCAAGAGCACTCATGAGATGAATCATAACTTTGCAAGACTTACCTCTTCTTACTGATATTTTCTGTGATTCATCATCTGTGTACCATAACTAATATGTAGGCTTGGAAATGTTTTTTCAGTCAGTGGCTGAATCTTGTATGAAGCCACTTAAGTGTATTTGTAGGATAATAAACAGTGGCATGTACAAATTGTATAATAACTATGAATTGAGCTAATTTTGAATTAACAGCAAGCTGAAATTACCAACTGTATTTATAATGTGACATTTTTAATGGAAGAAGTAAAAACACTTTACAGAATCAGACAGTGATTTATAAACCTCTATTTTCTGCATTTACTGCTTTTAAGAGACAACCTATTAATAGAAGAATCTTTTTTGAGCTTTACATTTGTATGCTTTATGCTTTTTTTGAATAGTGCCATACAGACTGTTTAAGCACAAAACTTGACCCACTTGATTTGGCTTGTTTTATCGTGCAGGGCAATAAGCTTTTCTTGCAACTTCTCATGGAACCCTAAAAGTCAGCCAGTTTTTACCAGTGTTTCTTTCCTCCAATTTCTAGGAAGCTTTGCTCTTGAATTACTGCAAGAACTGGAAGTGTTGCACTAGCAACATCATTGCCCACTAGCTGTGGTATTTTACTGAAAATCTACCCTTCTTAGCTGAATTTGGTGTACCAAATTCTGTGCTACAGTACTGTCCTTATCCATTGTTTCTGTGTCTGTTTTTTTGGAGTTCCATCACTGGTCATTTAATACCAGAAATCTGTGATGTTTCAAAGTGATGCTATATTCTGGAAAACCAGCTTCTCCTCCCAGTTGAGAATCCTGGTGATCTTGCTTCTGCCTTTTCATCCTCCATGACATATATACTCTTCTTGTGCGTTGAAATTTTTTGTGCTTCTTAAGTCTCTGCATGCATCCCCCTCTGTTACATCAGTTCTTACAGATAAAGCTATTTTACTACCCATGAAATCACTTGCTGTTACATTTCTCAGTCATGCATCCTTAACAGACAGAAGAGTATGGGTGTACATAAAACAGACTGTGGCACGGACTTATTTTTTTTATAGTAGAGAGAATGAGTGCTCTTCATTCTGCTTTTGCAAACAATTATATGTGCTCTTGTTGTATCTTTCTATCTACAAGCACAATGCACAAATGAAAGATTTCAGTCAATTCCACCCATCCTTTCATTTTATACTTTGAAAAACTAATGCTTCTAGTTCCAATGGCAGTTACTAAACTAAAGGAAGAATCTGCCCTTCAAGTAGTAGTTTCTTTTCTTGTTCTTTTCCATGTGAAGAGAGTTTTAAATTACTGTCATGGAGGTCAAAGCTTACCTGCATTTATACGAAGTCATACCCCTTTTGTATAACAGTTAGTCTGAGATTGATAAAATCTGCTGCAAGTTCCCATATCTTATCCCAGAATTTTTTAAAGAATACTTGGAGATACCTGCAAAAAGTTGACAGCCCCAAATCAGCCCTTTAGAAATCTGGCTATGAATCTACAAATGCATAAAACTTAATTTCATGTGAGGTATAATCAGTTCTTGTCTTATCTCAGTTATTCTTTAAGTACAGGCTTTGAAAATGCCATTACTGAATCCATCAGTGTACACAGAAACAGGCATGTACTTCTAAATAGGGTAGAAATGGCTGCTTTCTATACTTAGAGGTGTTTTTTTTTAATCGTAGGAACCAATATTTTTTTAGAAGTCATATATTAACAATTTAATGATTAAAGACTTCCCTCAACCAACTTGTGCTGTAATCCATTAAGCTGTGTTATTTTTGAGAAAAGAAGATTATCATACATATTTCTGCCTTTCAGGAGTTTAGATGAAATTCATCAAATGAGAAGATCACGTTCTCCAACTAGACACCATGATGCCTCCAGAACTCCAGTTGATTACAGATCCAGAGACATGGATAGTCAGTATTTGTCTGATCAAGAAAGGTACATTGTCAGCCTGAACTTGGAAACAAGTTTAGAAATGTCTTTGTTGGTTTGCCTAATTTTCAAGTATTCAGTAGAAACATGACTGATGGTAATGGGGAAGGGAGAGAAATCATCCTAACTGACAAATCTAGTGTCATGGTTAAATTATTTATGCCTCTTTTTTGGTAAAACTGTGCTCTGGGTTGACAGTAATAGCAGGTATCTAGACTAGTGGTTCTTTTGTGTTTGTCCTAGAGTATTCTGCTGTTTCTTTTATGAATGAAGCCCAGAGATTTTTGCTAGAAAACCATAAATCTACACGTATGCTTTAGCTGTTCTTGTAACTCAGAATTTTTCTGTTTTGGTAGCCAGCAAAATACCAGGGATGCCTTCCTACTAGTTGGGAGTTGCTTATGCTATGGTTTGCATTCCTGTGCTTATAGATTTTGGACATCTATATATGCAGTCTCACAGCATCTTATGTAACATTCTGGTGAACTTGGTACAGTACCCAGGCATAGCAAGGATAGTTGCGGTGCTTGTAATTAGCAAAAATCTCCAATCTTAGATGTGCGACACATACCCATCTCTCCCTGGAATACATGCAGTGGCTACACTCCTCAGAGAATGCTTGGTCTCTCCTGGTAGGCATTTTTTTCAGCTATCTAGGAATATCTTCTAATAAAATGGAAGAAAATGAGAATATCTGTTTAGTTTATAGCTGAAAAAAGTTTAAAAAGGTATTTCAGTTCAGTATTTGGGAAACATAATGATGACAGTCACATAGATTATCAATGTTTGTGGGTTGTTTACTTCGAAAAAAAATTGTATGGCTAAACTATAATGGCAAACTTTTATCATTCGCATATGATCAATTGTTCTAGTAATGTCTTTGGATTTTTTTTTTTTGCAGTAAGTTACTATTTTTTATGAGTAAGGATGACAAAACCTTTCCAAATGATCCAGTAAATTCAATACAAAACATACATTTCATAGTGTTGTGAAAACGTGTAAGGAATAAACCATAAAAATCTCTGGAACTCTGTCCAGTTTTGAAGCAACATAAATATTGAATAACAGATGACTTTTGCAGTTAAACTAGTTCAGTTTTGTATATGGTCTTGCCTGGTTTGCTTTTTTAATGTGATAACATACATATGGGAATTAATGAGTTATTTGGAACATTTTAAAATTCCACCTTATAGGCAAGAAGTATGTACAGAATTGTCTAAGTTGGATTGTTGTATTGAATTTCCTTTCAGAGGTGAATTGAAATGCTTTTTAAATGTAGTAGTCAGATTCAGAGTTAAGCTAATTCAAGTAATTTCCACTTGTTGCAAATGTTTCATGTTACTATTTATTATAAGTAGTGATATATTCAAAAGATTCCTGAAAATATTTATTGAATAGATTTCTTATTCAGCAGAGCTGAAGAGGAAGAGACATTAAAAAGTAGCTTTTGTCAGTAGAAATAAATATAGGTGGTTAACTGTCTAGAAAATTTCCTTCCAGTAAAGCCTTAAACCATGATATAAATGATGATATAGGCATGGATTATGCTTGGAGAGCAGGGCTTGCATTGAGGCTTACTTGGAGATGAGTCATCAGACCAGAGCCACAGCAGCAATGGGCTGCTGGATTTGTTCAGAGGAGTAAGACACATTCTTCAGTTCTTTTCAATGTTCAGAAAACGCTTTTCAGAAGTTTAAAGATCAGACATGAAGGATGTATGTGGCTTCTTTTCAGGATTTAAAGATGAGTCCATGTACTTACTCTCCTTGAGTAATAATCTTGTCTGCAGTGGTCTCCTTTTTCCCATTTTCCTTTTCGTCTTTCCCTCAGATTTCTTCCATTGTGGAGACTGTTTAACTCTTGCAGGTTTCACTGTCTTTCAGTACATGAGAGCAGCATCATAGGGAAGATCAAAACCAGCTTTTGTTGAGGAAGATTCTCTATCACATCCAAGGATTTAAAAAAATCTTGATTCAGTATTATGTATTAGTATCAATAGTGGTATAAGTATTATGTTTTGTTCATTTACTGAACCCGTCATCTAAACAAGTACATTCATGTGGATACCTAACATAAACTTGGTTTGAAAGGTGAGTAATTACCCGATAATTACATGGCAGAAATTGCAGTTGCTGATTATTTTTGATCATTTTCTCAATGATCTGTTATTGGTCCCAAATCAATATTGAATATTCTGAATAGATCTTTGCAAAAATAGTTATTATAGTCTCTTACTAAAGCATCTGGTGTGATAAATTTCCAGTGGAACTGATTTGTCCACTTTTCCTTTTTTATATATATTTATATACATATATACACACACGTGTATGTGTATGTATATATATAAATCTGTTAGGAAAAGCTTTTTATTAGGAAATCTAGCTAAGCAGTATACTTAGCTCTGAGTTTAGGATCATCATCCAATTTTCAAGGACGTGGCCCTTATCTTTTTTTTGAATGTTTCTTTTATTCCTAAATAAAATCTGTTAATGTGAGTACTAAAATACCCACATTAGAAAACACTTGTTTTAGAATAATAATCTTCATTTTAAATGTCTACAAACAAGTCTTAATTTATTATAGAACTGTGAGTATCTTCTTATATTATCGGTAATTACTCTGATGGATTCTTTTGCTTTGTTTTTTTAACTTGAAGATTTCATGGTGGATATGCTATTTTATATCCCTTTTCTGGATGAATTTTATATTACTGTTTGCCGTGGGCCAATTACAATAGATACTCTTTGGCTTAGCAAAGGTAGAATAAATATTAACAAAGTACCCTATGATTTAATGTGGACTTTGCATCTACTTCCCAACACTTAAGAAAATGGTAACTTTTTTCCTAAAATGTGTATTTATTTGTAATTTGGAAACCTGCATATAAATTCTGTCAGTCCTCTGAGCTTATGAAGGGAAATTTTGCTTCAAAAAAAACCAAAACAAAAACAATTCAGTTCACCTTTAATACATTTTGTTGCATCAAAATCAGGCTAGTGGTTCCAGATGCAAAGTTAAATCTCACACGTGACTCACAAGCCATTATTTCAAGCTGCCCAGTTTAGAATTTTAGGTAAATATTACCTATACTGCATCAATTAAATGGGTCATTTTATAATGGCATGAAGCACAAAACACATTGAACAACTGCTGCTTTATCTTTTTGTAATCTTTTCTCTCTTTGTCGCCATAGTACTTCATATGATTCCCTGCTTCTTTTAAAATAGCATGTTTCCATGAAGTTTAGCTTTAATTTCATATTTACAATAATTAGGAGGTTTGGAGCTTGTCCTTTCTAATTGTGTTGAAGTGCGTAAAACTACAAGATTAATTCAAGGGATGTTTCATATCATAGTCATATTTACCATAGGCATAAATATGTATTAATTTTACCATCTTGCCAGCTGTAGCATGTGTTTGGTTACAGTAAATGAAAAATAGAATAGATGGCTCATTTTCTCAATTGGAAACAATAAGAAACAAAAAGTCTAATGGCTGGTTAGCAATTTTTTTGTTTCTTTAGGATTGCATTACAAAACAGTGTCAAGAGCTATGAGTCAGAATTTATATTTGTCCAAACATAATATCTCCAGTGAACATATATTTTTGTTTTTCCTGAGAGGGTGGCTGGTTACTCTTCCCATAAACCGATTTGCAGTCAATTAGTAGCAAACCCTTCCTGCTTTTTCATGTATGGTTTTGTGGCTTAGGAAGAAAAAAAAAAACCAAACAACAATCTTCATTAATTAGTTCATGAGAAAGGAGGTTATCAGAGAAATGTAGCTGGTTTATGGATTCCTTTTGTCGTTAAGAGCTCTGAAACAGTACTTCTGAATTTTAAAAGGAGAAATCTCACAAAATTAGGTGCCACGCTAAAAGGAATTTGTTGAAAATATAGTTACCACAGGCATTTTATGGCTCATATTCTCTAAGAAGTGCAGTCTGGGTTTGAACATTATCAGACTATCTATCTGGGTGGAAGCTTCTTGTTTCTTTTTATGTTTTCATTTGCATATCATTGGCATAACCCATGTCATCTAATGCTTCATAATTATATCTGTTTCACTCACCACCCATCCTGTCTGTGCAGTGAGCTTCTTATGCTGCCCAGAGCAAAACGAGGAAGAAGTGCAGAGTGCCTACATACCATCAGGTAAATACAGGAATTCGGTAATCATGAACACATCTGGTTAGTTGTCTATACTTTGTGTGCCCGACTTTTTTCCATAGCGGTATTTAGTCCCAGTAAGTAAAAAACTTCCTAGTACGTTGTGATCCAGGTGTCAGTTGTTCTTTTTTGTCCTAATCTTGTTTTAATTCAGATCTAGATGTGTATATATGTTTGTGAACTTCAGTAGTAAGGATTAAAGCAGTTGAAGAAATTCTGATTTTTCAGTTGTATTTTGTGGTAGATTTTCTGTCTACTCACAGAAGTCCTGATCTCCCAATGCATGACAGTGTTGTTATAATTTCAAACACTCCTTTTTAGTTGTTTTTATGTTTTCTTTTATTTGCATTTTTATGTTTATATTACAAGCATGCATAAGCCAAGAATTTTTACTTGTTGTGACACCTAATCTCATGCTGATTTTGGTCACTTGTAGAGGAAGGAACAGTGATTAATGAGGGCTCACTGGGAACCCCAGATTTGAGGGGTCTCATATTACTTGTTTTTTCATCTACAAATTGTGCTATAAATTAGATCCAGGCATAAACTTTGTAGTTTGGGCTCATTTTCAGTCTTCATTAATCTCTCGTTCCAAAGCTTGGAGCTCCCTGTCTCAACTCTTCCCGATGTTGTAAAACTAAACAGGACTGAAATATCTTTATCTAACAAATCTAACTCCCCCCTCCTTTTGTTTTCACCACATCTGTTAACCTTGTTAAAAATACATGTCAGATTATGTAGAAAACCTTCCAGTTAGAATCAGTAAAAACATAGTTTGAAGTTGAAGTAGTTAACCATTCAACTACTTCAACCAAGTAGTTCACCATTTTTCTGTTCGGGATCTGGGTGTTGCTAAGAGTTTTACTTTTAAACTTTTAAAACCATGTTGTCTAATACACGTATTCATTTACTTGGTGTAGGATTTTCCCCTACAGAGTAGGTTTTTTTTTAATATGCCTTGGGTTTCTTTAATTCTCTTCATCAAATTTGAAACAGCATCAAAGATGCTGTGATAGGGTTCTGTTACAAGGCACAATAGTATAAAGGTAAAATAATAAATAGGAAAACTTTCAAAAAAGTCTGTGCATCAGTGAAGCTGTTAAATTAAAATTTAAGTTTTCATTATCAGCGGAAAGAGTTTCATTCTCATACTTCAGCTAAAAAAGCTTTTTCCTCAACATTTTAGGTTTTAAAGGTTAATCATTTATTTCACTCCCTGTTATTTTATGTCAGTTTATTGTCATATAATAGCAATTTTTCCTGCCTCCTTCCTATGGCCTCTCTCTTTCTGCTGCATCTCCTATAGCTTCATTCCCCTCCTTGCCCCCAGCTCTATGCTTTTCCTTTCCCTCTTAAAGATCATAATTTTCATTAGAATTCTTCAATGACAATGCTTGAATTCTCATGTAATTCACGAAGTAAATGTTGTATTATGAACTTTTGATGCACTTTGCCCAGCCACTATAGATTTCCAATAGTTTTACAAATCTACTAACCAGTCTGGCCAGTTAACCAGCTAAAAATTATGCATGGTCAGCAATAGAGTTAGGTAAGAGCTACACTGAATTCAGATACAGCCCTTTCTTGCCTTTTTCCTTATTCTGATTATTCCTGGTTTTTTTAATGATCAAGAAAAGTAACAAATTCACCCCTTTTATAGTATACCATTACTGTTACTTTAAACAGAATGGTACTTTTATTAATGTATTGAAGGTGAATATAAGGGCAGTAGAAGACAATACATTGATTTTTTTAAATTTAACTCTGAGACTTATACAGCCTAACCCAAGTTTGAATAATGCCCAGAAAATTGCCAATATCCATCCTTGACTGAATAATCTCAAAAAACCTTTCAACAAAAATTTGGTCTGCACATTGGTTGCTATCTTTTGTCCTTTCTCATTTGTAGTGGCCTGACATGTAATCATGTTAGAAACATTATGAGGCTTTATCCTTGTTTTCTAGACAGCTTGCTGAATAATGTTTTAATTAATTGTTGAGACAGCTTCAGCTTAAAATGGGAAAGAAATGTTAAGGGTTTCATGTTAAATGAAAGAAATATTAATATGAGATAGTCCAAGCGACAAAGTTAAGATATATGGTTAGTTTAATACACCAGTTTAGAATAATACTAGTCCTAGCTGTCTACCCTGTCCATCTGTATGCAATTATTGACTGATAGCTGGAATGGTGG